TTTCCCAGGGAAGCGTTGGGGATGAAGACAGTGCCGAGCGGATCCACTCTGGAGACGTTTTGCGACTGAGGCTAGTGACCCTGACATGCGGCCCCCAAGCCGTCATGCTGCATTCAAAGCATTGGCGTCTCCATGTTCCGTCGCTTTACTCTTTCTCTCCTCACCTTGATTGATGTGGATTGACGTTGTCACTGAGGAAATCAGGCGTTCTTTTCACTATCTCCGTTGAACGGATACACTCTTTTCGGTTCATAGTCCTGGAGACACTCCTTTTCTTTGCTTTATTTTCTTGATATCTCTGCACTATTGGCCCCTTGGCGTGTGTCTAACATTATCTAATACTTGTTTATTACTTTTATCATGGCTCGCTATCAGCTGAGGCGGCCGTCGCCAGTCTCCATCTTTCCCAGGTACTCACGACGTCAAGATGGTGCTGTGACTACTATGCCCCTTCCCGAGGGCGAGAAAGAGGAGGACGAAGGACCAGAGAGCCCAGACTCGCCATTCAGCAGTCCTTCAACAGTTGGCGGCGGCTCATCCTCAAGTGAAGATTCAGAATCCGACGATGATGAAGAGCCACCCTCGCCGATGGAATCCGGTGCACCATCCCGACCCGTCCAAACTCTCGGTCCTGATCCGACCATGCCACCCTCTATATCGAGCACCACGACAGATGTGCCCGCTTTACAAGTCACCACAGAAGCAGCTCTATCATGGAGCGCAACTCAATCATGGATCACCGGGACCACACTAGAAACTATGGCTCTTCCTTCCACAACAACACCTCCCCCCGGAGACAGGATACGAAGCGACAGACAGAAGGAAGCCTCGCCTACAGCTTCCGTATCTCTTCCTCCACCTCCACCTCCGCCTCTATCAACTGCGGAAATGGAAATGACAGGTGAAACCGGCGCTGCAGAAAGGTTGCCAGAAGAACAGACACCCATTATGACAAAACAAGCCATGGTAGCAGCAATCGTCCTGGGTGTGCTTGGTCAGTCACTGCTATACTTTTTATCTTATAATCGATTATTTCTAACAACCAAACAGGTGCCCTGGCACTTCTCGTCGCCGCCATCGTCTTCATCAAGCGCCGCAAAAGCAAGCAATATACCCGCCATGTGTCCATGCAAGGCGATTCTTTCAATTCATCCATGGCACAGGCTCTGCAGGCCCCTGAAGGCGCACACACAGGCACTGCATCCTCGATCTTCGCGCGTCTACAGGGGGCCAGTAACGGCGGAGGAGAGGGCCATTTGACCCGCTCCACAGATCGCAGTAACACTCTGTTTGGTCCAGGTGAATATTCGCGTCCAGAAACGGTATCCACAGACCGTAGCCGCTCGCGCATGGAGCCTCCAACACCCAACCCTTTTGCCGATCCTCAGCGTAACAAGGCATATGACATGCTTCACGACAGGCCGAGGAGCACAACGCTTACCGATCGAGGTAGCTGGAGGGAAAACCCATTCAAAAACCCAGAGAGTGATCGATTCGATCCATTTGGCGAACTCAAGGAGAAGGCCCGGAGGGAGAGGTTGCGATATCTGGAAGAGGTTAAACGGGAGGCAGAGCTGCAAAGGCAATTGCAACGGAAAGAAGCCATGGGACTGCGACCAGATGATATGCCCTGGGGCCACGACAATGGATACAGATGAAAGCACGCACGCATGCATATGGGAGTCCAATGTATTTATATATCTTCAATTGCTAATGGGACTGCCATGTGGTCAAAATTACGTTCTTAGTGACGCGCCGTCACGTGAAAACCGTCCCCGCCTCGCAATGGCGTGTGCAGCGAGACTGGTGCCTGGAGCACACCAGCCAATGAGGAGCATGGCACCCACCTTAACACCACACCTAGTAGCAGCCATGCCACGGCTACGAAGTAGGCCTTATTTAAGAGGCATTGACTTTTAGTTATGCATTGGTCTACTCTTCTTTTTCCTTCTCTCTCACTCTCACGCGGCCATGGCTCAGACAACGCTCACAGCTCCACCAGAAGATGTCGCGCACGACCATCTCTGCCCTGTGAGCTACATGTGCAGCAGAAAAATTTGAACAAAGATTTGCTCACATCTGTCAGATCTGCCAGTTTCTCCTCTTCACTCCCGTGAGGACCCAATGCAACCATCTGCTGTGCGCATCGTGTATGGCACAATGGGCTGACGCATCCTCTACCAACCAAATCGAGCATTCAAGCCTGGATGTGCACCCCGCAGACTTTAATCCCAACTATGATCCCAGCTATGACCTTGAGGCCAACTGTCCTATGTGCAGGACACATACAACAGCGTCTCCGGACAAGCCTCTGGCAAGACAGTTAGAGGCCAAGTATCCCGTGACTTATGCGGAAAGACGCGTGGAAGAGGAGGTTGACAGGGGCTCTCGTATTGGACAAGATGGTGTCGAGGGTGTCATGATTCTTATCGGAAACAAGCATAGGTTGATTAGGAACCCTGGGAGTGCGAATGAACATCTTTGGACATTTTTTGTGCGCACGTCAAGGCCGGAACTTATCAAGGAAGTGCATCTTTATCTGGTCAGTTTTGCAAGTTCAAGTTGTCTCTTGGTCAAGCAGCAGGATGCGAAAGCCATTCAATACAGAGACTAGGATGCACGGAATTTGGAATTGCATACGGCTCATCTACACATGTGCAGTGCTATAGTTATTGGTTGATATACTACTTTCCACGAGAAGGCTAACATATCACAGCATCCGACATTTCGGCCCAGCCATCGTGTCCTCCGAACCGCACCGTACGAGTTCGAAGCACAAGGTTGGGGCTTCTTCACTATCGAGTGCAAAATCGTCCTAAAGGCGCCGTACAACTGGATCATTGACAATGCCGGTACCAAAAAACAGGGACTCGAACTGTCGTGGACTCTGGACTTTGAAGGCAGAGGCAGGCAAGGCCGAGTAAGAGCCAAGGTTAAGAAATTCGAGGCCGAAACCGCTTCAACTGGCCGCACGTTGAGGTCAAGACATATACCTCCTACAGCTGAACCGGAAGTAGACAATGAGAACGAGTATGACGACGAAGACTTGTCAGAAGACGACGTAGAAGATGAAGGGGACAGCGAGTTCATCGTACCATCCCGAAGATCTCGAAGATAGTACTCCAGAATCAAACCCAATCCCCACTGAGACATTCTCTGCCTTCGGAATACCCTGATCCGGCACATTTGGCGCCTTGCAAGTAGCGTCTTGTTTCCCTGTTTCAGCAGTCGAAGAATCTACCGAGAATACCGTGGTGACACAAGGTAGGTGTGCACCGGCTTGGCATCGGGTTAATCGCAGCGCACATTCTGTTCGATGCGATGCGATTTCGTTCCGTGCGATCATGTTTACAGTATACGATGTTGTTTGGCGCGAATGACAGGCGCGAGTCATACAAACGCGCTTTGAGAACAATGCTAATGTGTAGAAACTGTCGGGTGTGCACGGCACATCGTGAGACACGATCGGTAAAACATCTTGGTGTTTCTATCGGCATTGCTGGGTGTTATGCCTTCTGTTGTTCCTAGACATCGGCGGGTTTCGTTTGAACTTTGTGGGAAACGAAGCGAGGCGTGCTTGTGGATTGTTGAGGCTTCACATTATCGTCAGGCAGGGCGGTGTTGGCCTTGAGTTGAAGGGAAGGCCTGAAAGGTTATAGGTGTATAGGCCAAACTCGACGGTCCAAACAAACCACATGTCAGAGCATTATGCTAAGAGGGCATGATGTTTTGAACGCTGCTATCAATAGGATTTGACAAAGTCATCGCATTTTCTATTGCTATTTCCGAGTATCCATATTGCAATGCGATATACAGCTTGGGTTTATATCCCTGCTACCAGAAGTCACACGAATGCACGTGAGCTTATAGGTGAGGATTAGACTAACACCTGGATCAGAGTATTGTCAAAACTCGGTCAAAGAAGAAGCAAAGCTATGATAGTGCATACATGTTACAATTTCTCCTATCCATAGCGCCACGGCGAACAAAAACATGCGTGTGAGAAATTACCCAGAGCGGCCCCTCCCGTGACATGTACCACATGGCCACCATCAACATTTCTGTTACGTGCCCACCTTCCTCTCCTATCGTTACCTCATCCTTCAATCCCCACAGTTAATCACCACCAACACACATGTCTTTCTAGACGCAATTGTGACCAATCAGGGCTGATGGTGGCGGCGCGGCACACAGCTAGCTCAGCATTGAGAATGCGGGGCACCGTCAGGCAACTACAGACTCCGGGGTGCGGCGGATCAGGGTGCAAACCTTCGATGACGACTAAGATTTGATGCTCCTGTTTTTTTCGTTTCTCCTATTTCCAACCCAACGTCTCTCATTCCATCACCTCGTTGCTCGTGAATCGAATGAGTCTGTTGCGGGGCTGAAACCAAATAACCTGGAGAGCAGATCGAAATAGTTAGGCGGTGTGAGCATTACGGGAGGGGCTTGGCGCCACCTCGTGAGAATCACGGCAGTCAGCGCTGACGAGACGAAAAGGGATAACAATCTTCTTGTCGACGCGTTTGGAGGACGAGCCAAGTACAATAAAGTCAGGAAGAGGATTGCAACAAAACGAGCAGAGTCGGCTTAGCAGTGGGCGACACTACAACAACAACAGCAGTCTCCTTGCGTTTCAAAAGGGGGTTTCACGTGCGCAAAGGGGTGAGGAAAGGAAAAGAGTCAGCAGCAAACGCGTCGACTGAGAAACAACCGTGGAATGGGCTGATTGAGAAGAGCTTGTTATTGCATTTTTGCGAAGACAGGAAGGATTCAGGAAGGGTCGCCCTGACGAAAGACAATAACCGCGGAGGCAACAACCACGACAACACTGTCCAGCGCTGCTCATCTTTCCTGGAAAGTACCCAACACACCGCAACTGCACATTCAAGACACAAAAGGGCCATTCTTTTTGTGGGAAGCCTGGTACAACTGCAATACCATTGCTACAGCCACCTTATTCCTATCCGAATCTCCTAGATCCTACGCATCACACCGTCATGCTCCTTACAATGAAAACAACACACCCTCGGGTAAATGACCTGATGTCTCTACTCTGGAACTGGCACCTCCACAAGCGAGAAACAACACTCTTCCGCCGCCTCGGCATGCACAGCGTAGAAATCGCTGGGCTCTCAATAGCGATGCTCATCATCCCTCTTACCATGCACCGTGTCGTTCAGGGCTTTGACGAAATGTATGACATTCTGGGGCGCCGAGCAAAATCACCGTACGCTCAGTTGTCTTGGGTAAACATCGCATTTGCATTTGTGATGCTCGTCGGATGGCATCTGTGGCTAGGGAGGTTGACGTACTTGACGGTATTGGAGAGCAATGTAGACGAAGACAAGGACGAGGGAAGGAAAGACGAGACTGCAGCTTCGTCTGGCTCAACAGAGAAAAGTAACACCGGGTCAGGAAAGGGGGGAATATCTTGGAGTCGCATACTAGGACGCATCCTGATACCTCTCCTACTTATAACATTGGGACTACATTTCGGGTACCAAGTCTGCCGACAATTAATAGCAGACACAAGACCGCTCATCACACGAAACGACGTCGACATGCAAGAAGCAATGGGACAGCTCTACGGGCTAGTGTAAAATATATCCAAGCGTGATTTTTCTGGATTCCATAGAAGAAAAGAAAAGAAAAAAAGTGTTATGTAAAAGAGAGGAAGTAACCAACTAGAATACCTTGCACGTATACTATAACTAGTTCCACCCAAACTACAAACTACCACACCTCTCAACCAAACAAACCCTTTTTGTACCAGGACAAACCCTACAACGCTAACCCCAACCCTTCCATCCTTCCATCCACACCTTCCATGCATTTACCCACCCCCTCTTCTCCATCCATCCCCGCAAAGCCGCAAAAAGCACCTCACATACCTCGGACCCCCCACCCCAACAAAGCCATCGCACCCCGTATCCCCACAGAAATCCCCCAGATTCCCACTCCTCGTTTACATCCTACGGTGCCTACTAACTCCACTCTCTCACACATACACACCAGCGCGTATATCCTCATCCCCAAGACATTTCTTTTACTATTTACCCCCTCCCCCGCAATTCGCATGTTCCGCGGCGGGGAGGGGGGAGAGAGGTGGGTACCCAACACCAACGTACCATGACCAAAGCATTAAGCCTACTAACAAGGGCGAGCCATTCGAGCTCCCTCCCCCCCGCATTCTCGAAAGTGCAGAACAACACGCCCCCATACGCCTCTACACGTGTGTTGCGCGTGCGTATAACATCCGAACGTACAGGGGCAAACTTACGTACATTACATGCAGACTACACAGTAAACAGTCAAGTACGGAACATGGGGGGGGGGGGAGTCTTTTCACCTCCCCCGGCGGTTTCTCCCCGGTGGATTCGCCTTGGCTTACGCGGTATATACAATGTCCGTATCAAACGCAGAGGGGGAGGGGTGTGTGTGTGTGCCGAGTCGGTCCGTTTGGGTGAAGGGGTGCGAGGGGTGTGGCGGGGGGGGGTTGGGGCTGGGGTGGGAGGTGTGAAAAGGTCCGAATGTATAGATACGCCACGGGGGGTTTTGCGTTAGGGAAGAGGGAAGGGAGGGAGGTGATAAGATGGTTTTACGGGATGGGTTTGCCCGTGCGCGCTTTTTTCTTTCTTGTTGTTGCTGATGAGATAAGGAGGGGATTAGGCTGTTTTTCGTATCTATTTTGGTGGTTTGGGGGGGGGGGGGGAACGTGGGTGTGGATTGGTGTTGGGAATGAGGACGTGGCTTCGATGTAGTTTGTATGGAGTGGACAGATTAGAAAACATGTCTTGTGTCTTTGTGTTTAGTTTCATCTGTAGTCACGCAATGAATTGGGAGGCAAGAGGGACATGTTTGTAAAGTTGAGTGCCATTGGGATAACAACGCATATTTGCGATACTGTGCATGCTCACCTGTTGCCAACATGGCTACATCTTCTACCTTACCCGTCATTTTCTACATTGTGTTCATCAAAGTTTGTCGTGAAGAATTCATGTCATATACTGCAACATCATGTCCGGCGACAGGCCGACTACGAATAATTCGCCTCAACAGGGAGATATCAGAGCCCTACCTCGACCTGATCATGCATGTCCGTCAAAAGGGTGGCGTTGCAGACGCAAATGAACGCGAACAATGCCCCAACGAACCTCTTATCTTTCCCGACGGAAAAATCGCGCGGTACAGTCTGTAAAGCAGTAAACGAGGTCATACTCAGCAAAACCCAACATGCATGTACTTTTGCCATTACCCTTCTCAGCCCATGTGGCCGGTGCGTGCGGCACGGCGCAGTGCGTCTCCCGCTCCATTCAGTTCAGAATCAAACACAGGCTAATAGTAATCTTTCCGATATCTTGACCTTTCCTCGGACCTTGCATCGCTGGGAAAGTCGTGTGCGGGGAGTGAACCATGCGGCTGCGCACTGTCAGTAACACAGCAAAAAAATTGGATCCCAGACCCGCCATCCGTTATCAAATGCGGAGAAAGAGGCTGCAAGGGACGGAAGAGCTAGGTGCTAGGAAGATACGGGCGCAATTCCACGGCCATGGTTGAGGGCGAAGATTGGTGGTTGGTGGCTTTGTGGCGCACCGGCGAGCGGGAGCGAGCGGACAGCCATGCTGATAGCCAGATGGACGGGGCGGGATGTAATGGACATTTTGGGATGCAAAGAGCGAAATGGTCGAATGCATACCTGACATACCAAGGATGTGTGGTTGGGCGAACGGAAGAGGGCACGATTGTATGGGATTCCTGGCCCTCCATGGCTTGGCAGGGCTTCGAGTGTGGAGGCGCATCAACTAAGCGGTGCACGCGACAAGCCATCGGTCCAAAGACTATTTGCTGGAGAAGCCGCCCGTTGCCAATTGAATGCTTATCAACGTTTCGCCGGTCGTTATAGTCGTGTGGTCCGGGCTATGAACGAGCATGAGACAGTGGCTTGGCGACGCCCCAGGCAGCCCTTGTCCATGACGACGCTCTGGTGGCCTGGCGACAGTGACAGTCAGCCGTCAACTAGGCGTAGGTTATGGCTGCGCTTGTGCAGCTATGATCATACTGCATGAGAGTGGCGCATGCGACAAGGAAGAATGCATCCTCGTCAAGAGTAGAGCGACGTGCCGACTCGCAGGATTGAGGGTGTGGCTGCCGGCAATAAACCGCAGGCCTTATCCCACACCCGCTTCCGAGTTTTCCGAATGAATCTTCCGACCAACAGCCATGGGTGCGCCGTGCATCTCCTCGCTGCTTGTACATACACGTCAACCCGGAGATAGGCAACACACGACAGGTCGTGACAGTCTCTAGCACTATGGCCATGGCTAAACGTGGCGCTGCGTGGCAAAGCCTAAGCGTCGTGGGGGAAGAGTAATCGATATCCAAGGCCAGGCTAGATTCACAATCGCGTGCAAGTCACATGAACATTTGCCGCATCGGTGGTGTCGCATGTGGTATACGGCCATGGTGGCGTCGCTTCGGCTGGTCGCAATCGGGTGCCAAAATATCAGTGTTGCTTGGAGATCGGAGATCGGAAATCAGCCTCGCTGTTTGTCGCAATGGGGTAGCAGAGGTCGTCAAATAATCGCAAGTCGCCACCAATCGCAAATTGCCACTATGTTGTTTCTGCAAAAGAAATGGGTATTGAATTCATCTCGACACGTAACCAGCACCTGTAGGCTGTTCAAACGACCGGTCTAACCATCTAGGTTAATATATCATCAAAAACCTTACTGCGCACCATTCACAGTGCCAAATAAAAAAAACAATGCTCATCAGATCATCTTAGACAGCACGCTTGTCAACAGGAACATTGCGCTTCAGGCCAATGAGCTGAAGCATCTCCGTCCAGAAGCTGACAGGTGGGGTGATGAAAGAGGCCTCGTAGGCGTCAATGAGAGGAGCATCCCAAACAAGGTCAACCTCGTGCGGTGCTAGCCACTTGGTCTTCTTGACCACCTTCCAGAAGATGAACAGAACCGGAGCTACCATGACCATAGTGTAGTAGGTAAGGAAGGTCTCGGCAGTGAAGTTGCCGGGCTTGAAGGTACTGTAGCCATAGACAAAGACAACGCAGATCTCGAAGCAGAGAGCGAACCAGGTTCCGTAGGGCTGGAAGTAACCGCAGTATGGGAGCGTCTTGCGGTCGAGTCCTTGGACCTTGCATGCCTTGTAAAAGGCAAGGTAGGTGCCGCACATGACAATGAAGTTGATCAAGCCTCCAGCGGTAATGATGTTGACGAGCCATTTCAGAACCTTTGCTGAGTTGTCCGACAGTTGCAGGAAGGACAAGAAGGGGAAGATCATAACAACGAGGAAGCAGTAGATGGGGACACCATTCTTCGTGCACTTGCGGAAGATCTTGGGGGCACGACCCTCGATAGCGAGCGAGTACAAGCTGCGAGTGGCGCAGTAGGTGTATGTGTTTCCGGCAGAGAAGATACTCGTGATCAAGAGGGCGTTGACAAGGTGAGGAAGACCGTTGATCTTAAGGTTGCTCATAGCAATGACGTAGGGAGAGGCAGCCGCGCTCTTCTCGCCAGACTTGACTACCGACTCGAGCTGCGGGTCGTTGTAGGCTACAACGACACCAACGCAAAGGGCACCGAGGATGAAGAAGGCACCGAATCGGAAGTAAACCGTCTTGAACGCCGACTTGATGTAGACACGAGGGCGCTTGGCCTCACCAGATACCATGGAGATGTACTCGGGGCCAACAATACAGAAAGAGGCAGCCCACAGAGCAGCGAGGAATCCTTCAAAACGATCGAGGGCGGTGGCGCCAGGGATGACGCCAGGGTCACGCCAGTAGCGGAAACCATAGGCATCATGCTGAGGATTGCCACCGACCATGGTAATGAAGGTGAAGAGGTAGAGAATCAAGATAAGGAAAACCTCTGTTCAACAGGTTAGTTGTCTGTGTTATTCACAGTCGTACAAATCTACTTACTGCCACCTGAGAGCCAAAACTCGGCTTCACCATAGGCCTTGACAGCCAAGACGTTGCAAGCACTAAAGTATGGTTAGTGGTCTTGTCCCGCAAGGGAAAGTGTAGGGTATCTTACGCGTAGAGAACAATGACTGCGGCACAGACAGCAGCAACTGGAATGTCATCTCTCCAAAATTTTAGCACAACATTAAGAGCCGTAATCTCAAAGGGAATCAGCAGGGCTTCGTAGAAGAAGAAGTTCCAGCCGGCCATGAAGCCGAGGGCTTCGTCGACCCAGTGTCCAGCCATGCGGATGAAACCTCCGGAGACGGGCATGAAGCTGGCCATTTCAGCCATGGCGTTGTTTACGAGGGCAATGACACACGAATATCCAGCGTAGGCGATGAGTATACCGAGGGGGCCGCCAGAGTTGAGGGCACCACCGATGGACACGAACAAGGCAGTACCTATGGAGCCACCAATGGCAATGAGCTGGATTTGGCGATTGCCCAGATGACGCTGCAAGTCATCCGAGTTGTCGGTCATGTCGCCATGTTGGATATCGTCATTGGGGGCCGACTCGCGAATGAACTCGCCAGAATACTTCTTTTCTTGATCCATGGTTGCAAGGGGGGATTGTCGCTTAGGCAAAAAGGGCAATTGTCGCTAGGGAACAGTGGTAGTGGTCGCAATGGAGAGTCGCTTTAGGTATGGGCTGGGCTGGGCTGGGATGGGCTTCTGGGCTTGTCGCTGTGGAGTAGAGGGCTGGGGAGGGAAGCCGACTATCAGTCGCGTGTGGGGGAATTGAAGAGGGCACAGCGAGGGCTGCCAAACGAGTCGCACTGAAGAGCAGTGGACGAAAGGGAGGAGGGGAGGAGGTAGGGGCGATGGAGGAGAAAACCCTTATCACAGACGACGGGCTGGGGTGAAGAGCAGGGTCTTTATATGTTACTACAGGTGGGAGCGGGACATAAGGGCATTGCCTTGCCTGTGGGTGGATCCTCGCGGTGGTGAGGGCTGGGATACGACGAGGAGCCGAGAAGGGTTTGGCGGGGCGCTAGTAGGGCGGTGGTGGCTAGCCGTCTTGGGCCTAGTGCATGTACCCACTGCACTGGCACACTGGGCATGGCATCGACGGCAGGCGGCACAGCACAGAGTTTTCAGACAAGGCCGGCCGTGGGCAACCCCGCTCGTCGTGTGGTGTGCGAGTGCGCCATGGAGAATGGCTGGGCCGTCGTGGGTGTATGGAGGACTAGAGAGCGGGCTTGCGTTAGTGACCCGGGGTGGGCGACAATTTGCCCCAGCATAAGAGTGGGTGTATCCTGGGCCTGCCCATGGGTTGCCGCGCCTAGAGTAGCTCAGGCACTCGAACAGGCGACCAGGGCCCTTGTCACCGGCCGCGCGACGACAGTTGGGGGAACGTAATCCAGTCTGGCGGAGGACAAGGCCATGGATGGATGGATGGATGCGTTCGCACGTCGCCGAAGCGTGCTAGTGCATGGGATGCATCGCAGTGTGTCGGCAGGTACCGGGCTCCTGCCCCAAGGCCGGGTGCGGGCAAAGGCAGCAAGAGAACGAGTGCGAGAGCGGGTGGGGGTCTATCCATGTCGCTGACCAGAGGCTCGCGTGTTTTGGGAGAAAGCGGGAGTTGGATGCGATGGGGCGTCGTGGGTGCAGGAGAGCTTTGAGCTGATCGGGAGCCGCACCAGTGTCAAAACCGCTGGACCGACTCTCGGCTGATAACAGGGAACAGCGCCGCAAGTGCTTGAATCAAGTCTTGCCCATCGCAAGCGTTGAGAGATTGGCGTTGCTAGAGGCCGGGCAGACACAAATCAAATGACGGCATCATGCCTGAGAAGTGCCGAGCCAAGCACCGCACGGCCGTCGCGTATGCCGAGTTACTGGCGATTCGCTTGGAGATACAAGTCGTTTTACCACTACGAATATTTCTTAGTCGTCCCCAGCTCAGCTCACGCGACCATGTGACTTGCCTAACTGCCTCGTCCTCTATCCGCCTCGGCATCGCCCCATGGCCGGCCTGGGCTGCCGTCATCGTGCAGCAAGTCACGTGTCGACGGGAACATGCTCCGCGTGCACCCAAACACTGGGACATGGGGAAGAGTCATGTGACATCTGTGTAGCAGGACCACACAGCTGGTAACATTACTACATATACTACTACAAGTAGTTCACATTATATATCCACTACACTTACTAGCCTTCCTGACCCTTGCTGTCCAGCCATGCTCCACGCCATCACACGTGCCACTAGCTCACCTGCACGCAATTGCCTTCCAAAAGCTGTTCATCAACCGCATTCCATAAACTTTCGGCATCAACCGACACTGCTGCAGTCTCTCGAGGCATGCACTGCTGCTTCGTGCTGTAGTACTAACACTGCATAGTACATAGTGTGTTCATCCATCCATACATGTGTAGACGCTTCTGATCGACGGGCTGCCCCGCTCCCGCTGCCTGCCCCGCAATGCCACATGGCATGCCGCCTTCCTTTTGCTTCACGCTTCCACCAACTACCATCTTGCTCCATCCTGCAATGTGCGCCACACCCAGTACCATCTGAGTGTAGCATTGGCCTTTCAAGGTATAGTCACACAAATACTTCTCTAATCCTCTAGTCAGCGCTGTTTCCCGCGTCTTTTTATCCCCGCTCTCCGCCCTCACCGAGCATCTCCGACTTGCTTTTTCCTCGACAAAGTCTTCTTTACTGGCCCATGATACCCACCACCGTACGCCTCCAGCTGTGCTTTTGACTATCCTCACCTACAACTGGTAAACACGTCAGACGGACTGCGTTGTTGAGCCTGCCGTGCGACACACCTGCCGATCAGATCTACTGCTCACGCTTTCCTACAAGAGCCACTCCTCTCCGTCTGAGTACATGAATATATAAGTTGCTCTTGACCTCGCAAAAGTCCCAAATTGTCCCATACACAGAAACACAAAAAAAAGAAAAAGAGAATTCTCCCCCCAAAATCATCATGTGTCGCTGGTTCGCATACATCTCTCCTACGGAGCCGTGTCTCCTATCCGATGTCCTCATAACTCCCGCCAACAGCATCAGCAAGCAGTGTTCTGAGCATTACCTGCCTAAGCTCCTCCCACATAACGACGACAAAGATCTTCATGACGCCCCTGACGAGCTTATGCGTATGCGGAATTCACTCTTGAACATGGATGGCCTGGGTATTGCATGTAAGTGCAAGGTCTTCCTGATGACAAATGATGTGCTTTGGTGTACCTTACCTGCCTTTCGAGCATGTTGTCTGACTCGGATGTTTGCTCGGCATTAGCTTACAAACCTCATCAGGGTACACCGAGGCCACTTCCTCGTACTTGAAGCATGTAGAAGGCCCACGCCCAGCCCTCTACAAGTCACAATCTCCGCCCATCAATGATTTCAACTTCAAGTCTCTCTGCCAAAACACAGAGGCAAAATGTGTGTTTGCCCACATTCGTGCCACCAGTGGCAGCGTTGTGACCCAGGTCAACTCGCACCCGTTTGTCTTTGGTCGCCACGTCTTCATGCATAATGGAGTCATTTCCAACTTTTCCAGCATCCGCCGAGACATGACGGACGAGTTCTCCTTTGACGCCTATTGCAATGTGCTAGGCAGCACCGACTCGGAACACGCCGCTGCCATGTACATGACCTTTCTGACAGACGGCGGAGACAAGGAGAGCTGGGAGAAGTCGTACCCGCTCGAGAAGATGCTTGAGGCTATGAAGAAAACAGTAGTCCGTATTCTCGAGCTGCAGCACGCCAAACTCGGGGATGCAAACACACCCAACTCTCTCAACTTTTGCACCACAGACGGCAACAGAATGCTTGCCATCCGCTTCCGGAACCATGCTACACAGCAGCCACCCAGTCTCTATTGGTCTGAATTTGCCGGCCGTACCCTGAACACAAAGTACCCGGGTAACCCGGATAGCAAGGAGATTGAGAATCTCGAGGCATCCTTCGAGGCAGAGCGAATGGGCAAGCACACCATTATTGCCAGTGAGCCTACAACGTACGATGAGAATGAGTGGCATTTGATCAATGCCAATTGTGCCCTGATGGTGGACGAGGATGGTATTGAGCGAGAAGTTAAGATTGAGTATGACCCTTTGTTGAATGCGCAGGATCCAAAGTATGATGGCCATGCATAATGTGTTACAGTGAGCTTGGGGGGGAGAGAGAGGGAGAGAGAGAGGGGAAGAGAAAGGTCGCAACGAAGTCGTCCATCATTCAGATGGAAAATACCTATATATATTGCCGACCTTATTCAAGCGAAGCGCTTTGCCTACATGAGTAGATATTCGAATGCGAGTAAATGAAGAGATATCCAACGACAATGTACACAAGTCAGACCTTTCCAACAAAAACGATACTGCAACACAAATCGATAGGGTCGTAATGGTATGAATACCATTAACTCTTGTAGACGGATAAGGAAAAAATATGCTTTGAATGCTGACATGTGTAGTTAGTTAGCCAGGCCACAATAAGCTTCTTTTCAGCGCTAAAATGCTTGAGTGACTTTTCACATGTGCAAAATAGTTGCGCATAAAAGTGCTTGTAGGGTTTAAAACATGAACGACTGCAGAAAGTTTTGTTAGGAGTTGGTGTAGTAAGACAAGAGGCAACCTTGACCTCCGGGTGGCTGAGGAGTATCGTCACTTGGTTGGTTTCTGATAATTTCCTGTGTTACCTATCATGCAGCTCCTCCTCTTTTCCAACATCAAGAACGAAAGGATACGCCGATCCTGAAGCTTGTAGTTGCTTGCATGCAGATTGGTTAGCACGACGGACCACGTGTACGCGCCATGCAGCGAAAACATGGATCCAATAAAGATGGTGGTACGCTACTTAAACAAAACGAGGTACTGGATCCCAGAGAATCCTACAGGATCTGTCTAAGTGTAATGGTAACAATGTCCGGCGGCTATGAATTTGGCCAGGACGAAACGAGGAGAAGCAACCAAATGTCCAAGGTGCAAATCTCACCTCAACACTCCTCGGTCACTCGGAGCCGGCGGACAAAGGACACATTCCGTCCGACCGAAAGCCGAAACGTACTGTTGCGAGCGCGACAATGTGAGTATGGTGGTTGGGATAAGCAAGACAAACAAGCGAGGTGGCAGCAAGGCTACCTTGCTGTGAACAAACACATCATGTGTAACTTGTTTTGAAATAAGTATCAGGAAGCCGAGCAACAAAAAAAATATCGAGAGGTAGCTGACCACGACCGTTTCCTGACAAGCAGGGAATTGGTGCGCGACAGAAGGAGAATTTTGGGCGCAATACGAAGTTGCAAGTGTGTACCTGGGACGGGCTGCAGGGACAAGTCATCGGCCTTTAAATTGATTGGAAGCGCGCCGCCCGCTAGAGGGATGATGATGACGACGCATCTTCGCATTGCCCACAATTCCCAACGGTCGTAATAATAGCGATCCTCGGCGCGCGTCCAAATATAAACAAACATTGGATCTGACGTGGGCCGCACTGCACCGCCTCTGGGGGGTGAGGCTATCGTGGCGATGGATACGAAGGCGCACCCGCAAGAGCAGCGGCCGATGCACGGACAGGACAGGGCGCCAACGTGTCGGGCAACGGTTGCAGGCGACAGCTGGACATGGAGATTTGAAGGAAGGGCAGCAAAATGTGCCTGTCGCAAATGATGTGCAGGCGGGGATGTAGGGCTTGATAGGTTTTAAGCCCGCGTCTGCAGGCGCTGATCTCCCGCGCCAGTGTCTCACATAGCAACGTTTGGGCGCGTCGCCATTGGTCCAGGCGTCGATTACGCGGATGTGGATATGCCGGTTTCATGCCCGAGCCCTTGATACATGATCCTTCTCCCCTATCCTCCGTCGCGCCACAACCACCACCACCAACATCACCCCTCCCCAACCGACACCTCTCTCTCTCCCCTTCTACCTCCCACACCCACACCCCCCTCTCTTCCCCAGGAATTGCCCGTTTGCCCGGATTTTCTTTCTTCGACACACTCCAAAAAAGAAGAGGCGCTGCCCCCAGATACAAACTCGCCTGCGCCCCGAGCTCCATTCCGCCCCCCAAACTGGCTTTCGCTTCATTCCCACCCGCCATTCTTGGTCCCTTGACTCGCCAAAAAAATACTTTCCCGCTGGACAGGGCCACCCACATATCGTGCGCCCGCAATGTGGTTCCGCAAGAAGGACAGCGACATTGAAATGTCGGGCATGATGGAGGCTGAGCAGAAGAAGAAGGCGAAGAAGTCAAATGGCCCTCCTGAAGAGACGGAATACCAAAAGTTCGACTGGAAACGCTTCTTCCTCGCCCCAAAGTACATACGTATGTTGACATCTGTCACCCCCTGCTGATCACTTGGATACTTTTGCTGACAACGGAAATTAGCATGGCACATATTATTCATCATCATTGGCATCCTTACTGTCATCATCACAATCAAGCACGACGAGGTTGTCGAGGTATGTCTCTCTCTTTTTGCCTCACCGCATATTTCCCTTTGGCTTTCGGGGAGCCGGTGGGACCCACGTGACTGACGCCTTACTCCAGAAACTACGACCGTGGTCGGAAAAAGTCCGTGATTTGCCGGCAGGATGGTTAATACCCATTGCCATTCTCGTCATTATTTCCTTCCCGCCGCTCTTCGGCCACGAGGTTATTGCGCTGCTGTGCGGTGTTGTCTACGGGCTCTGGATCGGTTTCGCTATTGTGGCAGCGGGCACTTTTATCGGCGAGGGTAAGTTTATTGTTTTTTTTTCTTACTTTTGCTGACCCCCGAATTTCCGGCCCTTTTTCTTTCAACATGAGCTAATCATTTTCTTTTTGCTCCGCAGTCGGTACCTGGTACGCGTTCAAATATGCGTTCCGCAGCAAGGCCCTGAAATTAGAACGCACAAATCTTAATTACGGCGCCATGGCCCGTCTGACACGCGACGGCGGCTTCTTCATCGTCCTCGTCATCCGACTTTCCGCCATCCCCGCCCATTTCTCCACGGCCGTTTTTTCCACCTGCGACGTCAAGTTCTGGCATTTCGTCGTCGCAACCTTCTTCTCGCTCCCCAAGCAAATCTTCCTCGTCTACCTCGGCGTGCTGCTCCTGCAGCAAAGCAACGACGATGTCATCAAAAC